TTTTTCAATGCTGTTTAAGTCTGTTAAGAAATAAACGTTAGGTGTTGCATTACTGACAGTGGCCCTCTTCGCTTCGTCATACCTGGGCCTGGTTCAGGAAGATCTGTACTGCTGTTATGGGAAACATCATGAAGAGGCAGTGCTTTACGTGGTAATCTTTCTTTAAAAATTGTGAGGCTTTTACTGGAAAGTTTTTTGAAAAGGTAACGTTTTCGAAACCATGCATGCTTATTTCCCTTAAAAATTGACTGCTATTTTAGCACATCTTATCGCTTCCTGGTTTTCTGCTTCTTCGACACGATATTTCGGCTACTGCAAGTCGTTTTAATGATTCTGAATTTTTAATTGAATCGTTACCTATACCTAAGCTTTGGTTACTCGTCTTCTCCGTCTGCCTTATGCAGTAGTTTTTTAATTATTCTAAACATTCAGTCAAAACCTGTTTTTGCTTAAGTTTTCTCTGAATTACCTTTTCACAGCGTCTTTTTATAATGAAAAAACTTTTAGGGAGGAAATTAGATGTTTACCCAGAATCAGTTTACCATATTGAAAATTTGGCAAAAGCGATTTTTTTGATTTAGATGGCTGTGCGTCACCAATGTTTACACACTGACTTCGGTAACCTCTTCGCTGAATGTCACAATGGTCGTTACTCTGAGGAAATTCATTTCTTTGGCTCTTTCAGTAATAGTTTTTAAAAATCCTTTTAATTATTATCATTTCTTAGGCTCTTTTTGTATTTTTGTTGGTGCACTTACTTTTACGGAGTTCTGGGCAACAAAAAGTTGGAGAAGCTGGTTTACTAAGAAGTACGTCTGAACTGCTGTTTTTCAGTTATCTGGATGGAAAATTGTGAACATGAGATTAAATGAATAATTTTTTTTAGAAAAAAATTTTCGAACATTTGTAGATTTACTGGTTTTTTATAATCTAAGCTAAATCACCACCTATAGTCTTTTGAGAGTAGTTTGAGATCTTTTAACCAACAAGTAACTACTATTTTCTTTCTGTTATTGAGAAGAAACCGGCTTAAACACCTGGAAGAGGTCTTGTATCATTTAATTTTTGTAGGAGACGGTGGGAAAATTCAATTAGGATTTAGTTCTTTTTTCGGTGATTTATTCAAAATAGTAGTTGTTTCGTTTAGCAAATGTGGTCTTCAATTTTTATTAAATACTTGAAAACGTAGTGAATAAAATGTTGTGATGTGGTTATTATTTGGGTCAAACGTGATAATGAAACGCTATAACATATATTAAACAGGTTCAATAGACTTTATAACTGAAACGTCAAACGTGCTATACCTTTAACTATTTATTTTTCTGTTTGGTTTGTTTCGTGATTTCCATTCATCTGTTACCTGAAATATAACAAAGTTCAAATGATATATATTTTACGGCTTAATCAAAATTGTGAAACATATCTGAGCCTTTCATATCTTACCAATCTCTTTTTTTTACTTTTAGATCTCACTTTATCTAATGAAAGTATAAATTTGTTTAAGAAGTTCTTGGCTATGTTTCTGTAATAATTCTTTCTTTTTTTGTTTTTTTTTTCTTTTTAAACGTTTAGCAGTTTTGTAGCGTTCTGCAGAATACTCGTTTTTGAAGATATTGTTTGTAAAGTGTTTCTTGTGTTTTCGTGGTTTATTATTTTTTAACGCATATTTTCTGAATGAGGGAATTCAAATTGTTATAATGAGTGTCTTTTCATTGGTTTTTTGCTTGACGTTATATATGCTCCTGTTTCCATTTTTGAAGCCGCTTCTGCGGAGTTGCAACACTATTGTTTGTCTAAAAGTTACAAGTTGTTCGCTGCAACAGCCATAGACGGCACCGGGTTTGTTTCATCTGCAATGAATTATTAAATAATTTAACTTTAAAGTTTTTTTCATTCTTTTATGTTTAAAGTAGCTCTGACCTTTTTACCAATATTTTGTATAAGGAATCAGTAGTATTGGAAGGGTCGAGGGATTTCCGCTGCTTGCTTGAAATTCTTCTGTTCTGCATTTTACCTGCTTCATGTTGAAAACTATTTCAACTGCATATTATCGTTGTACAGTATTTCATGTTAATTTGATACCACTGTTATTTCCTCGTCTATTTTTGGGTAAAGGAAGTGATGCGTTTTATTTTTCATTATTTAACTTTTGAAGTTGGTTTTTGTTTGTCAGTAAAAACGTTTGATTATTTGGAAACTGTTAAGCCGGACATGGAAAAGTCCTGGTTGCTGTTCTTCACTTATTTAGCCGACATTATTCAATTGGTTTTGACGTACTACTTTGGAGTGTTTTTCGCAGTCACTGTAGAAGGGTGAAATATTATTTCACTTTGTGGCACACAGGTCAATTTGCATTTTTGTTACTTTTTTCATCACTTGTGAATAAAACCTGTAATTCAAAAAGGGTTTGTGTGAAGTGTTAGAGGGAGTTCATTTGCTATTTAGTAGTTGTTACACTGTGCTAATGTTGGTCAGGAGGGGGTTTAGAGTTTTTTAGATTAGCATATGGGTTTATTTGGAGTTTCAGAAAGGTGTTTTGGGAAGAGTAAAAAAATCAAG